TTTTTAGTTATGGACCCGTTTTGAAGCAATTGGAAAAGAAAATAATCAATTGGCTATTACATTGAGTTTGTGGAAAAAATCTCGCAGAATAAAAGATAGAAGATCAAAATTGAGGAGAAAATGAAGAGAATGACTAACTTGCATTACACAAAAGAATTGAGTACACAAAAACTTATTGGACTTGGGCTCCAAAATTGTATACAGAACAAGGGAAAACTTTAATATATATATACAAACATAAACCTACAAAATTTGGGGAGAAGCCGAAAATTGAGTGCTTCAGTGAGGAAAAGTCGGCAGCTGCTAGGGTATGCAAGTGGATTGCAAAAGCTGATTTTTTTAGAGAAAATACCCACAGAATTGGGCAGCTAATTGTCATTGGATGGTAAAAATTATTCACCAAATCTTGTCTACACATATGACCATGCATTTCATGCAAGTGGCTGCTGGAATTGGACTCTTCAATTGGCAATAAAATTGGGCAGACGGTGGGAATTAATTTGTGGCTGCATGGATTCATATATACCCATGACCCGAGGCAAGCAGAGGCGAAAATCATAAACTGAAGAGGAAAAAGACGGCAGCCAACTAAAATTGCGAGAATTAATTACGTTTGATCGATTTTTGATGATATTCTTCCACTTTTCTTTGTTTAATTTTTACATTATGTTAGGCTAAATTATTTTGTGCTAGGATTTGCAAGGAACCTTATATTATGAACCCTTAATCTTGAATTTTATTCATTTGACGTTAAAACATGTTTTTAATTATTGAATGATTGACATGGATTTTATTTTCTCTACAATTATGTGCGCAATAGTTGTATGAGATTTGTGACTTGTTTTACCCTCAAGAAATGGAAAATAAGTTAGACATTATGTTAATTGTCGTAAAGTCCGATAGGGGATAGAAATATACCGCTATGCTTTACGTGATCTTTAAGTATTCATAAATCTTTAATACATTTTTATATGTTCGCATTCGTCATAGAAATATAGTCGGATCACATGTAAAAATAGGTGTAACTCTACTCGAGAGAGATTGTTAAACAAATTAGAAATATTGGTCTTCATAATTAAATCGTGTTGTCAATTTTATAAAATTCGGATTAAAGAGGATTGATATAAGGGGATTCGGGATCCTAGTACGCATTTCGTTATTATATTTTTTATAAAACTCGCATTTAGTTATAATCATGCATTTAATTTAGTTAATTTAGGCTTTATATTTATAAGTAGGTTATTAAATTATAATTTAGTTAGCGAAAATATCAAGAATTCCTATTGTTTTGGTTAAGGTGTAGATAATTTAAATTTAAACTAATACAATCTCTGTGGGACGATACTTGGACTCAAAAGGTCCACTTTATTACTTGAACGCGACCCGTGCACTTGCGGTGTAGGATTTTACCTAATAAGTTTTTGGCGCCATTGCCGGGGATTGTATTTTAGTTTGATTCAATTTATCTTGGCACTAATTCGAACTTTTCTTTTATTATTATTTTATTTATTATTATTATTATTATTATTATTATTTATTTATTTATTTATTTTTATTTTACGGTTATTTTAGCACTTTAATTTTCTCTTGCATTTTATGCGAAATTCGAGGGACGGTGAACTGATACCAACTGATCCAGAAATCGAACGTACTTTTCACCGTAGGCAAAGAGAAGCAAGAGAAATAAAATAACAAGAGATGGCCAACGGACAGAATAATCCAATTATTCAAGTGAACGAAGAAGTAGTGGTTAATGAAGGAAACATGCTAGTTGGGGACTTTATGACCCCACAAATTATTCAAAGCCAATCTAGCATCGTTTATCCTCCGTTTGGACAACCAAACTTTCAGCTGAAGACCAACGTCATTCATTTATTCCAAAATGGACATCAATTTTATGGCAGGTCCGATGAAAATCCACATACACATGTCTCCCGATTTTTAGAGATGTGTCAAAACTTTAAATATCAAGGGATTTCAGATGATGCAATCAAATTGAGATTATTTCCACATACTCTATGGGATAGAGCGCTTGAATGGTTAGATTCAAAACATATTGCTAGTATCACCACTTGGAATAACTTGGCTAAAAAATTTTGCACTAAATTCTTCCCACCGGCTAAGATTACGAAGTTGAAGTATGACATATCCATATTTCGGCAGGAAGAAACCGAATCCTTTGATGAAGCTTGGAATAGATTCAAGAACATGCTTCGAAAGTGCCCTCATCATGGCATCAGCAAAGGGCTTCAGGTCCAATATTTTTATGCAGGTCTACTTCCATCTTATAAAAGTATGGTGGACTCATCATCCAATGGCTCCTTATCCACAAAGATAATTGATGAAGCTTTGGAGTTGTTTGAGAGAGTGGCTACTACCACAGCCATGTGGGCCTCTGAGCGTGTTGTTAACAAGAAAGTACCATGAGTTTATGAGGTGGATACGTATACAGCGCTGTCTACAAAAATTGACTCTTTGGTTCATAAGGCAGAGAGCATGTCACAGTCAGCCAATGTAGTACAGGCTAAAAGAGCAAGTTGTAAAGAATGTGGGGCGGATCACAGTACAGTAAATTGTCCAATTCGTATACAAGGTACGGAACACATTGATTTCATACAAGGGGGTCAGCGCCAACAAAATAATCCATATTCTGACACATACAATCCTAGTTGGAGGAAGCACCCGAATTTTTCCTGGAGCAATCAGAATCCCACTGCACCACATGGTTCTCAGTTTCAGCAAGCAGAGAAGAGAACTTCCTTGGAAGAAATGTTTGGTAAATTCATGGAAAAGACAGATCAGTACATGGATGCGAATAATCAATTTATGAGGAAGACTGAGACAACTATCTAGAATCAAAGTGCTGCAATTAAAAACTTGGAAACTCAGATGGGACAGATAGCACAAGCTATATTGGGCAGAGCACCAGGTACATTGCCAAGCAATACAGAGGTTAATCCCAAAGAACACGTCAAAGCAATTACTACTAGAAGTGGGGTCCAATTACCTGAGTTCCATGTTAAGAGGCCAACTGCAAATAAGGAAAAAGTACCCTCTACTGATGAAGAGCATGCAGAACAGACTGAACAAACAACAGATACATCTATCAAAGAGAGTTCAAATACACCGCAAGTTAAGGAAACTGCTCCGATTAAACCATACGAGCCACCAATTCCATTTCCTCAGAGGCTGCAAAAACACAAGTTAGATAGGCAGTATACAAAATTCCTTGAGGTCTTCAAAAAGCTTCACATCAACATCCCTTTCGCGGATGCTCTCGTTCAGATGCCTAGTTATGTCAAATTCTTGAAAGATATTTTATCTAACAGACGCAAGCTAGACGAACATGAGACTGTAATGTTGACAGAGGAATGTAGTGCCAGAATACAAAAGAAGCTATTTCCCAAATTAAAAGATCCAGGGAGTTTTACTGTACCTTGCACTATAGGTGATTATTATTTTGATAAAGCTTTGTGTGATCTAGGTGCAAGCATTAATTTGATGCCATTATCTATTTTTAGATAACTGGGTTTAGGGGAGGCTAAAGCAACTACAGTGACTTTACAGCTAGCTGATCAGTCTATCACGCACCCAAGAGGAATTATTGAGGATATCTTGGTGAAAGTGGACAAATTCATCTTCCCAGCTGATTTTCTCATTCTTGACATGGAGGAGGATAGGGATATTCCACTTATTTTGGGTCGACCATTTTTAGCTACCGGTAGAGCCCTTATTGATGTGCAAAAAGGTCAACTGATTTTGAGACTTAGTGAAGAACATGTCACATTTAATGTGTTCAAGGCCATAAGATATCCAGCAGAGTCAGACAGTTGCTTCCAGATCGATATGATTGATAATGCAGTAAATGATACGTTCCCGTTGCATAATCCACCAGATCCAAATGAGGCATGCATTGTACACTCTCAATCTACTCAATCTGATTCTAATGAGATTGAAACATGTGCAAGAAATCTTGAAGCTAATCCTCCATATAGGCGCAGACCACACTTTGAGGAATTAGGCACTAGTCCTACAAAGCCTTTGCCATCAATTCAAAGGCCACCTGAGTTAGAGCTCAAGCAGTTGCCATCTCACCTTCGTTATGCCTACCTGGGAAAATCTTCCACATTGCCTGTTATTATTTCAAACTCCATTAATAAGCTTGAAGAAGAGAGATTGCTAAGAGTACTCAGAGAAAATAAAATAGCTATTGGATGGTCTATTGCCGACATCAGAGGGATCAGCCTACAATCTGCATGCATAAAATTCTCATGGAGGATAATTTTAGACCAAGTATAGACAGCCAGAGGAGACTCAATCCAAATATGAAAGAGGTAGTCAGAGCAGAAGTTTTGAAACTTTTGGATGCAGGGATCATCTATCCTATTTCAGACAGTGCATGGATTAGTCCTGTTCAGGTTGTGCCGAAAAAGGGAGGTATTACAGTAGTGCAAAATGAGAAGAATGAATTGATTCCCACCAGAACTGTTACGAGATGGAGGGTATGCATTGATTATCGCAAACTCAACACTGCTACTCGAAAGGACCACTTTTCCCTTCCATTTATTGATTAGATGTTGGAAAGGTTAGCAGGTCACTTCCATTATTGTTTTCTCGATGGATACTCCGGTTATAATCAGATTTCGATAGCGCCCGAGGATCAAGAGAAGACTACGTTTACTTGTCCCTACGGCACCTTTGCGTATCGTAGGATGCCATTTGGTCTATGTAATGCTCCCGCCACATTTCAGCGTTGCATGATGGCCATCTTCTCTGATATGGTGGAAAAATTCATAGAGGTCTTTATGGATGATTTCTCAATTTTTAGTTCTTCGTTTGATGAGTGTCTTGAGCACATAAACTTGGTCTTGCAGCGGTGTAAGGAAACAAATTTGGTATTAAACTGGGAAAAGTGTCACTTTATGGTACAAGAGGGCATCGTGTTGGGGCATCGAATTTCAGCTAAAGGGATTGAAGTGGACAAGGCAAAGATTCAAGTTATTAAGAAGTTACCACCACCAACCTCGGTCAAGGGTGTTCGCAGTTTCCTTGGTCATGCTGGATTTTATCGGTGCTTCATAAAAGACTTCTCTAAGATCACTAAACCATTATGCAATCTACTAGTCAAGGATGTCCCTTTCAACTTCTCTGTAGAATGTCTATTGTCTTTCAACACTTTAAAGGAGAAGTTAATTTTAGCGCCAGTAATTGTTGCACCAGATTGGAGTTTGCCCTTTGAACTAATGTGTGATGCAAGTGACTATCCAGTGGGAGCAGTATTGGGACAGCGACGAGATAAATTTTTTCATGTGATCTATTATACAAGCAAGACATTGAATGATGCACAGCTGAACTATGCTACCACTGAGAAGGAACTTTTAGTTGTAGTCTACGCCTTTGATAAATTTCGTTCTTATCTTGTTGGATCAAAAGTAATAGTTTATACAGATCATGCAGCTTTAAAGTATCTGATGACAAAGAAAGATGCAAAGCCAAGACTAATCAAATGGGTATTACTTCTGCAAGAATTTGATTTAGAGATAAGAGATAAGAAGGGAAGTGAAAACTTAGTAGCTGATCACCTATCCCGACTTGAGCATGGAGAATAGGAAAAGTCAGTGAACATAAATGAGATCTTTCCAGATGAACAGATTTTCAATATAGAGGATGTACCTTGGTATGCTGATATAGTGAATTATTTGGCCAAATCCATTATTCCACCAGACTATTCAAGTCATCAAAAGAAGAAATTCTTTTCTGACTTGAAGTATTATTTTTGGGAGGACCCTATTCTTTAAAGGGGTCCAGATCAAATTATTAGGTGGTGTATTCCTAAAGAAGAGATCCCTCAGATACTCGAGCAGTGTCATTCATCTGCCTATGCTGGACACTTTGGCACATCAAAGACTGCCGCTAAAATTCCACAGTCTGATTTTTACTGGCCATCGATATTCCGAGATACATTTGAATTTGTGAAGAGGTGTGATAGATGTCAACGCACGGGAAATATCTCAGGAAAGAACGAGATGCCTCTGAATAGCATTCTGGAAGTAGAGCTCTTTGATGTGTGGGGGATCGACTTTATGGGGCCATTTCCCTCATCATTCTCGAATCAGTATATACTTGTCGCCGTTGATTATGTTTCTAAATGGGTGGAAGCAATAGCATTGCCAACCAATGATGCGAAGGTTGTAATTGGGTTCCTAAAGAAGTATATTTTCACCCGTTATGGTACATCTCGAGCTATCATAAGTGATGGGGGCAAACACTTTTGCAATCGTCAGTTTGAGTCTTTGCTGGCTAAATATGGCATCCGACATCGTATAGCTACCCCTTATCACCCTCAGACTAGCGGTTAAGTTGAAATCTCCAATCGAGAATTAAAGCGGATACTGGAGGTAACAGTGAGTTCTTCAAGAAAAGATTGGTCTAAGAAACTTGATGATGCTTTGTGGGCTTACAGAACGGCTTTTAAAACAGCTATAGGCATGTCTCCTTATCGTTTGATTTTTGGAAAAGCATGTCATTTGTCAGTTGAATTGGAGCACTGAGCTTATTGGGCAGTCAAGAACTTGAACTTTAATTTAAAGGCCGCAGGTGAAAAGAGATTACTTCAGTTGAATGAAATGGATGAGTTTCGATTGGAAGCCTATGAGAACGCAAAACTCTACAAGGAGCACACAAAAAAGTGGCATGACATGCACATTCAAAGAAGGAAGTTTGAGGTTGGACAACAAGTTTTGCTGTACAATTCTAGACTCAAACTTTTTCCTGGTAAATTGAGGTCTAGGTGGTCAGGGCCATACACCATAGTCAAGGTGCTTCCTTATGGGACAGGTGAAATAACACATGAAAGTAAAGGGACCTTTAAGGTTAATGGACAACGGTTGACTCCATATTGGAACGGTGAATTTTCGAAAGAAAAATCAACCGTTCAACTTGCAAAACCAGAATGAATGAACAAAAAGTCGAGCTCTAGACTATAAATCGAGCGCTTAATGGGAGTTAACCCATTCTTCTATCTCCTTTTGCTATTTTAATTAACTATTGCATTACATATAGTTTTATGAACTGCATTAATTTAGGAATTCATGCATTTAAATGGGTAGCGTTGGACACATTTTAAGTGGTACTTTCAGACCTGCACCAGTAACTTAGGCATATTTATTTATTAAGTTCATTTTATTTTGACATGGTTATCTAGGTTCATCGTTAACATCTTAGCATTCTATTGATTTTACATTGATGTGATATGCATCTTTAAGATGGTACCTAAATCTCAATCTTTCTTGGTATGAATTTATTGCAAATATTTACCTTTTGTATGCTATCACTAATATTTATTTTGAATACTTGAAATAGAGAATTAAAGCCTTACAACAAAGAATAGCTACAGCTGTCGTGATACCTACCAATTGGAGCAGCCTGATCATTCATTGCATCCATTTACCCCGGGGAGTTTCTGATCCTTACCCTTTACTTTGTTTAGTTTTGCTTCTACATTGGGGACAATGTAGTATTTTAGTTTGGGGGTGGGTGAGTATTAGGATACTTAGAATACATACTTTTCAACTGCTAATCGAGTCCGTATAACTGTTAAAAAAAAAAATTGTTTAGTAGCGTTGACGACTTGCCGTCTATGAAGATATTATTTGTTTGAATTGAGTACATATTTAGTTAGATGCCGGATAACATCTTAACTTGTACTTTTACTTTAAAACTTATCCATGTTAGATTTGATTATTTGAGCACATAGACATATTGATTTATCACTTATGTTGGTACACAATGTAATTTTTGTGGAATTGTTGATGTTGTTGACTTAGATTTGAATAAAATTCCTGAGTACCTTATTTAGAAACCAAACTGAAAAGAAGCAGTTTGGGGGTGAGAAGGTTAGTGCTTGTCTTCATAGAAGTCCGATGGTTTGGAATTCTCGGATCCCGGCGTTAATTGAAAGGGTTGAGTTAAAAAGTCTAAAACGGGCACTGATCATCATACATTTTACTTCTTTTCGTAGTCTTTATGACCCGAGTGATTAAGCCTGTAAGGGTCTTTAAAACCTGGTGCCTTATAGTCGTCTGACTCGGGAGTCATCGGCCTAAAACTCGCTACAGGGGTCATCTAGAAAGCTAAATGGAAAGAAGCTTTGCACATAAGAAAAAAATAAAAATAAAAATAAATAAATAGTTGGATTCTCATATCAAAAGAAAAAGTAACACATCTTCTACTTATCTTCGTAGCCTTTTTGACTCGGGTTATTAAGCCTGCAAGGGTATCTAAAAACCTGATGCCCTATAGTCGTCTGATTTGGGAGTCATCGGCCTAAAGCTCGCTACATGGGTCATTTAGAAAGCTTAATGAAGAGAAGTCTTGCACAGGAGATGTCAAAAAAAAAAATTTTTTGAAGAAGAAAAATTGAGATATAAATTATCAAAAGTGAGATGTGCCTAGTAATGACTTTGAGATTTGAATTCTAGAGATTGGCGGTGTGGTTATGAGAAAGACTTACTATCTCGCTTCCTAGGTTTACAAGTATCTAATTCTTAGCACTTGTGCGGAAAAATGCATCATAATGATTTTTAGGAACCCCTTTTGTACTAGAAATACCTCAGGACTGGAGAGAAAAGCATAAGGAGTGATTGTTACACGAGAGGTGTGAGGAAAAATGACCACAAGAGAGTTGGGACTATTAATAAATCAACAACACTTGATTGGTTGTATTCTAATATAGGTGTTAGTTCAATGTTGGCTAATCTCACACACACACTAAATCGAGCATCGGATAAGTAAAAAAAAAAAAAAAAAATTATTTTTGATGTTTTTTGGATCTTTCTAAAATATTGCTTAAATTCAAACCTGAGACATATAGTAATTAGTTCAACGTTGAGTCTTTTATTTATGATTTGTTAGGCTAGAAATGTGTTATACTTAAGTTTTATTTTGTTTTGTTCGAGGACGAACAAATGTTTTAGTTTGGGGGTGTTTGATAAGTGCATTTTATGCACTTATTCGGACTACATAATTAGGTCTTTATGTCGTCAAATTATCAATTTTTACCTAACTTGTGTTAATTTTCTTTTGTTTTTAGTTATGGACCTGTTTTGAAGCAATTGGAAAAGAAAATAATCAATTGGCTATTACATTGAGTTTGTGGGCAAAATCTCGCGGAATAAAAGATGGAGGATCAAAATTGAGGAGAAAATGAAGAGAAGGACTAACTTGCATTACACAAAAGAATTGAGTACACAAAAACTTATTGGACTTGGGCTCCTAAATTGTATACAGAACAAGGGAAAACTGTAATATATATATATATACAAACATAAACCTACAAAATTTGGGGAGAAGCCGAAAATTGAGTGCTTCAGTGAGGAAAAGTCGGCAGCTGCTAGGGTATGCTAGTGGATTGCAAAAGCTGATTTTTTAGAGAAAATACCCACAGAATTGGACAACTAATTGTCATTGGATGGTAAAAATTATTCACCAAATCTTGTCTACACATACGACCATGCATTTCATGTAAGTGGCTGCTGGAATTGGAATCTTCAATTGGCAATAAAATTGGGCAGACGGTGGGAATTAATTTGTGGCTGCATGGATTCATATATACCCATGACCCGAGGCAAGCAGAGGCGAAAATCATAAACTGAAGAGGAAAAAGACGGCAGCCAACTAAAATTGCGAGAATTAATTACGTTTGATCGATTTTTGGTGATATTCTTCCACTTTTCTTTGTTTAATTTTCACATTATGTTAGGCTAAATTATTTTGTGCTAGGATTTGCGATGAACCTTATATTATGAACCCTTAATCTTGAATTTTATTCATTTGACGTTAAAACATGTTTTTAATTATTGAATGATTGGCATTGATTTTATTTTCTCTACAATTATGTGCGCAATAGTTGTATGAGATTTGTGACTTGTTTTACCCTCGAGAGATGGAAAATAAGTTAGACATTATGTTAATTGTCGTAAAGTCCGATAGGGGATAGAAATATATCACTATGCTTTATGTGATTTTTAAGTATTCATAAATCTTTAATGCATTTTTATATGTTCGCATTCGTCATAGAAATATAGTCGGGTCACATGTAAAAGTAGGTTTAACTCTACTCGAGAGAGATTGTTAAACAAATTAGGAATATTGGTCTTCATAATTGAATCGTGTTGTCAATTTTATAAAATTCGGATTAAAGAGGATTGATATAAGGGGATTCGGGATCCTAGTACGCATTTCGTTATCATATTTTTTATAAAACTCGCATTTAGTTATAATCACGCGTTTAGTTAATTTAGGCTTTATATTTATAAGTAGGTTATTAAATTATAATTTAGTTAGCGAAAATATCAAGAATTTCTATTATTTCGGTTAAGGCGTAGATAATTTAAATTTAAACTAATACAATCTCTGTGGGACAATACTTGGACTCAAAAGGTCCACTTTATTACTTGAACGCGACCTGTGCACTTGCGGTGTGTGATTTTAGCTAACAGGGAGTTGAGACGGATGGTGGGGAAAGCTACTTGGAACAGTAGCTTTGAGAGTTTTACTGCGGTGTTGGAGCAGCTTGATGATCATCACGGAGATATGCTGCGACAGTCCTTCTTGTGGCCACTGTACCATATGCGAGATGTGCAGTACTCAGGACAGATCATCGATGCACTTCTATGTCGGCTTTTGAGACCAGTCGACAGCGATTCCCTCCACTTCGACCTCGGGGGCAAGGTTGTCAGTTTCTCGATTTATGAGTTTAGCTTGATCGCTGGACTGAGGATTACGGGCGACTATACAGCCATTGAAAGAAGCAATAGGCTGTACGAGACGTACTTTCAGGAACATGGGTCAGTGCATCTACCCGAGTTGATGGTCGCGATTAGGGGGTGCGATCAGATGTTAGATAGATTGAAGCTTGGGCTGGTCTACATCCTCGAGAGTGTGATGAGGTGTCATCATAAGAAGACTGCCATCGACATTTTTCATTTGGAAGTTGTTGACGACATTGATGCGTTCAACAGCTATCCATGGGGCCAGAGATGCTACGAAGACACCGTACATGTTTTCACCAGATTACACTCGAGGCCCAGGGGGTCAATACGTAAATACGATACATATGGATTGCCCTTAGCGGTGCAGCTAAATGTTTAATATAATTAAAGTTAAAGTTTTAGTATATTGCATATATGCATAATAAGTGTATGTGTTGCAGATTTGGGTGTATGAGACAGTCCCTGCACTGGGAGCCCGCTTCGCGAAGCGAGAGGAAGGGAGACACGATGCCCTCGAATGCATCATTGGAGATCGTCGCGAGCGGAGGGATGTCCCACTGGGAAACAGTTATCGGCCCTCCTCGACGATCCTCAAGTAAGTATTATGCATTTGTGATTTATATTATACGTAGTTTAAATCTGTTTACATGATCGTTAACTAGTTCAAATGTTAATACGTCAGCTTGAAGTCATACCTGAGTTGACGCCGTTGATGGAGGAGGAGGATCGAGGTCTTGTGCGGGATGTAGGTGTTCCGAAGACGAGCAGATGTCTGATCCGAGTGTGGATCGAGATTGGGTATGTGAATTAAATATAATTTATTGAATATCGTCGACGTATAAATTTATTTAATAATTTTTAGTGTTATTTATATAGGAGGGCGGTTCAGCTGATCGACGATCACCTCCGCCGAGGGTATCGCCGCCACCATTGGCATCACCTCCGCCGAGGGTATCGCCGCTGCCATTGGCATCGCCTCCGCCGAGGGCATCGTCGCCACCGCTTAGGGTATCTCCTTCTCCCTCGTCCAGACACGTCCCCCGTGTATTGCCGACCCACACTGATGATTTGTATGCCCGTCTGACTGGATTTATAGTGGAGAAGGTCGGCGCGCTACGACAAGAGTTGATGGAGAGGGTCGATGATCTGGGACGAGAGTTGACAGGGAGGGTCGACGATCTGACGGAGAAGGTCGACTATATGACAGGGAGGATTGACGATCTATCCCATGATGTTGGAATGCTACGATCTTGCGTTGTCGACCTTCAGGATGCGGTAGCAACACTTAGAGGAGATTTAGCCGCTAGGCGATGGGGGGACAGAGGGGATGGTGGAGATGATCGAGAGGGTGGCGGAGATGGTGATGGAGAGGGAAGTCATCCACATTTTTGGCATGACGAGACATTAGAGTCATTCTGGTTGTCTATGGAGGGGGATAGGGTGGCCCCGATGGGGGGACGACGGGGGAGGCACCGATGGGAGAGACAGAGGAGGTGGCGACAGAGGAGGAGGCCCCGATGGGAGGGGCAGAGGAGGTGGCGACAGAGAGAGAGGCCTCGATGGGGGGGCGGATAAGGTGGCGACGGAGGAGGTGGCCACGATGGGAGGGGCAGATGAGGTGGCGACAGAGGAGGGGGCCCCGGAGGGTGAAAGGACGCCCATCGTGATTGAGGGTAAGAGACATGCTGTTGATGAGACGGAGCAGGTGGTCGGCAAGAGGTTGAGAGTGCCGTCACAGTACGTTATTTCTCCCTTCACCACTGAGGCCAAGAGGAGGACGTTCATCGATGGGACGTACCCGAACTTATTCAGAGAGGTGGACAATGCCAAGTGGAAAGCATTCGAGACGGAGTGGAGGAGAATTATCCCCGGGTAAGTATTGTATGATTTTAATAAAACACTGTACGCTAACTCGTCTATGCTTATTTTAACATTTTCCTGTTTTTTCAGAGCTACCCGCATGATAGGTAACCGGACGGTCTCGGATGCTTACAAGTGGTTCCACAATATCATGACTGCAGGAGTTTGGCTCGCCGACGATGTAAGTGAACTATTCATTTTGTGTTTTGTATGTATACGTCACTTTGTGTTTATTAAATGAATAACAAATAATTTTTTGGTATTTCTTGATGCAGCACATCGACTTGGCCATGGACTTGCTGCGAGATCGAGCTCAGAGACATCCAAAATCATTTGACGTCCATGGTCGAGTCATATTAAACACCGAGCTCCTGCGTGCCGTTACCATAGAGTATCAGTCGCTCCAACTTATGGGTAACGAGTACACGGTGCTCGAATATATGCTCGAGTGGGTCATAGTATTGTCGCCGAGTGTCGGGGGAAAATCATGGGAGAGTTGTACACATATGTACATTCCAGCGTGCATCAATAGGCATTGTGTTATGCTGGAGATCGTTTTTGTTGACACGACTATATATGTGTATGATCCAGATCATTCATGTTTAACGCAAGGCCAGTTGGAGCAAAACTTGGAGTCCGTAGCTGTAATTGTTCCTATGATGGCCAGACAAGCGGGGATGACTGTACAGGATAGATTGCAGATTGTTCGGAATACGACGACATCACGATAGTCCGTAAGGTAAGTGTTTGAACTTTGTTGTTTTCACCTTTCAGATTTAGTTTTTTAGCTACACAGTATTGAACTGATCCATTCTTGTTCAATTGTAGCGGCGACTGCGGCATATTTGCCATTAAGTACGTTGAATTTTTAAGTATAGGACATAAGGTTGATGAAATCAACCAATCGTGGATACAGAACTGGTAAAAGAAGTTAGCATGTGATTTGTTCGAATTTAATGGTGACCCGTAAATTTGTATTAAATATATGTAACATTCGAATAGTAAATTTAATTATTTTTTGTGATTATGAAATAATTGTAAATTTGTATTCAGTGTATATAACATTCACATTGTAAATGTAATTATTTTTTTATTCTGAAATAAATTTAAATTTGTGTTCAATGTATATAATTATTTTTCTGTAAGTTGATTTTTTGTTATTTTACACATATGCTGAGAATGGAACATTTTTCCATATGAATCATTGTAAATACCGTTTATCAAGAATAAATATAGAACATTGAACATTTATGAAGAACAAATATTGAACGTACCTGTCTAATTTTTATTTAGGAAAATTTGACTAGTACAAAATTGTCGAGTATGCCTTATGGCTCTGCATCTGCCACTCCTACGCGGTCGAGAAAACTCTCCGGTAGATGGTATTCTAGATGTACTTGGACGTCCAAGACCACGCGGTTCAACTGCTGGTGGCAACAAATCATTAAACTGGAGAATGTGCTCTGGAACTTCCCACTCTGTTTCATTCGGCAGAGGAAATATAGTCTCCGCATATGCTATTCTTCAAGACTCAGTCGTATAATACAAAGAGTATAACGTTCTCGCTGCAAAGCCTCGATACATGGCCACCGCAACTGCATGCTCACATGGAAAACTCTCCAATTGAAATCTCGTACAATTGCATGTGTTATCAGTCAAGTCCACCATATATGCCGTCTTACGTGCACATTGCACGGAGAAGCGGAACTCATCTAGTGCTTTCACATTCAACTTCCTCGCAACCTCTGCCACTTTAAAGAGTTTCTCCTCTTGAGCTGGGGCCAGCACGCTAGTGCAACTCTGTGATGCCGCACGTCGGTCATGAAACCACTGTTGCAGCTTGTTACGAATGTTCTCAATCATTGCGAGAATTAGTAACTCTCGATCCTTCTTAAACAATGCATTGAGAGACTCCGCGTTATTCGACGTCATCATGTTGTATCGACGTCCTGGAAAGTATGACCACGCCCAATGTTCGATCCCCATGTTCTTCAGATACTCCAACGCCGGTAATGATTTATTTCCTATCTCAAACATGAACTTATTACACTCTTCAGCACTGTAAGCTTCGGCTGCTCTCCTGAACAATGAAAAGATGCCTTTGCCCCGATACCTAATTTTCAAATTAACTTGTATATGGTAGATGCAATACCCGTGATGTGTCTCTGGAAAAACTTCAGCGATACCGTTTATTATAGACTGTCCCCGATCGGTTACAAAGGCAAGGTCTTCGACTTCTCCGATCACTTCCCTCAGTTTCGAAAAGAACCAATGCATGGACAGATCATTCTCACTGTCGACTATGCCGAATGCAATAAGGTAAATTTGGATGTTGGCGTCTTGACATGTAGCAATAATTAATTTGGCTTGATGTTTAGCTTTCAGAGTTGTACCATCAACTAGAATTACGGGTCGCATTGCATTTTGAAAACCCCGAATACATTGTCCGAGAGCCATGAAGAAATACTTAAAACAATTATCGCTCCCCGTCTCAATAAAAAATGTCGTGCCAGAATTAGTTCTCCTCATGTTATGGCAATACCTGACCAATTTAGCAAAGCTCTCCTCACCCGATCCCATTAAATCCTCCAACGTACATTCTTTGGCCTTCCAGACTTTTTGGTAGCTCATGACCACTCCATACTCATGACGGACGTCGTTAATGATGTCCGAAGGTCTGTAGATCGTCCGTGGGTCCTGATACTTGTGCATTATCTGTCGACCAATAAACCATGCTCGAGCTTGCCTGTGATTGTTTCGAAGAATTCTCACTTCGCAAGTATGTTCTTGTGAATACTTGCGAATTACGAAACACTCATTCGTGTCCATCTTAATTGCTCTCAAGCGCCAATTGCAACTGCCTTCAAAGCAGGCAACTGTCAACAATGACTTGTTTGATTTCTTTACCTTGAACTCAAAGTTATATTTTAATGCCAGCCGGTGCACAGCTTTCTGCGAATCTTTCTTGGTTTCAAACAGTTGCTCGACATACAACTCCTCATAATCGGGTGCTAGACGGGAAGAATTGGAGGACGGTCCACTTGTTCCAACCTGTGAACTCCCACCCGGCTCATGTCTCTGTCGGGATAAAGTAATCAAATTCTCATTTGTAAATTCGTTTATATTCTCATTGTCTTCAACCGTCGATGAAATTTTGCGCATAACAGCGACATCATGATTAGAAGCAACTGTCGCAGGAATAACCAATCATCCGCATGAACTATCTCCACTGTCTCCCAAAAACCTCGATCATTATTATCAGCCTATCTGAATCTTCGCGTTCACCTTCGATAACATCCTTCGTAATTAAAGTCACACCAAGAACAGCCGACTGCTTTTCTGTTTTCCTCATTACGTAGAAGAAAAAAATTATAGATCTGTTCAAATTTTTTTTTCATACGTTCGATCTGCTAAAAAAATTACTACTAACTATTACTATGTCGAAATAAATTTTCTCTATTCAAACGTATACTAATTTACTGAAAAAGAAATTAAACATCCGTAAATATACTTACCGATTTGAAGAAATTGATATGAAAAAAATTTTCGACTTCAGCGTTTGAGCGTTTTTTGATATGTTGAGGTTCAAGCAGATGAAAGATGAAAGTTTTTTCTGTCTTGGAAGCTCGTTTTGAATTTTTATAAGTGAGGAAGTGTTTGGTTTTCAATTATTAACTAAAAAGGTAGTAAAGTCTTTTCAACAATACATTGTTTTGTAATTGTATAATACATTTAAGGGCATCCTTGTCTTTTAACATTCAAGAGGCCAATGTGATAATATTCATGATTTTCAAAGTCAAAGTGGAATTTCCTCCCTTTGACTGGATTAAACTTAAAAGTACCCCGATTTTTACTGGATAGACAAAATTTCATATTTATTAGAGATTATCATTAATTTATGTGACTATCAGAACACTAGCACAATATTCAATAAATTTCGTGATGGAAATACGAATTTGAATTTTTTTAACAGATATAATTGTTTTGAATACAATGGACTTCATCAAATCTATAATATATTAAAATATCACATCAATGAATAATCATTTTTTGAACAATTTTAACCCCCATAAATTTCAATTATTTCAATAATACTTTATTTTTCATTTTTGATCAGTAATAAATATTACATAATTACTGTCATTTATGAAATTTGTGTTATTAATTCTTAATTAATTAATATTCAAATTAACCTAGATTCAATAAATTTTTACTTGATGAATCTTAAATTACATGAATCTAGAGTTATTATAGATGAATTTATTCGTATTCATGTATTTAGAAATTCTAATGGACGTTTAAATTATGTATTACCAATTAATTTTTATGTATCAAATGTAATATAAAAGACTGTTCATTTATAGTTTTCATCATTACAAAAAATCTGAATCATAGAAATTGAGATTTTGGAGTACAATTTGAGTGTTATTTTTTCTCGTAAATTTCTATGCTAAATTTTATTTTCTTTAATTCGTCCGAGATTCATCAAATCCTCCAACAAATTGATACCAAATATTATTTTTACATCACTCATAAAGTGTTTTAGAATAACTTGTTGCATGTTCAACTTTGACTAGATTTACTAGTAACTTTTGGCATAATTTTAATTACGGTATTTTTTTGATAAAATTTAAATTCTACATCGATGAAAATTATTTATCATTTAATTATTTATACTTCTAATTGAATCTCAAATCGAGCTGGTTGAATCTTTTGACCTTAGCCTTTTCCCTTTTTCAGTTTACAAGTCGCCATCATGTACATTGCACGAATTTTGTATTTATCATATTTTTATTAGTGTATGAATTTTAGTTTTTTTGGAAGGTTTTTGAAGCAATATCTAAAAATATTTCTATGATATAAAAAAATAATTACAGATTATTTTTACAATTGCATAGCAGTATGCTATCTAGAAAAAATATGCTTGTATATTTCATGCTTGAATAAGAAATATACAAACTATTTTGCTCATATTCTTTGATAGTGTTGATATGATTGAATTGAATGTAAAGATTATATTTCTAAATTTTGTGTAATTCAATATTGTAAAATTGAAAAAAAACTCTCCGCACAGTGCGGAGAGAGTTGAAACAAGTGCGGAGTAAAAATAAAAAATAAAAAAGGTGCAGAGAGAATTGCGGAGAGAGTTGAATCATGTGTGGAGAGTTGAGAAACTCTTCGCACAGTGCGGAGTACAAAAATAATTTTCTGCACAGTGCGGAGAGATGACAAACTAACTCTCCGCACAGTACGGAGAGCAAAAAAAAACTCTCCGCACTGTGTGGAGAGAGTTAATCTCTTCGCACAGTGCGGAGAGTTGGTCCGCACCACGGCAAAACTTTCTACACAGTACGGAGAGAAAAACCTCTCCGCACAGTGCGTAGAGAGTTGAATCATGTGTGAAGTAAAAAAAAAGTGCGGAAAGAAAAAAACCTCTCTGCACAGTGTGGAGAGAGTTGAACAATGTGCAGAAAGTTGACAAACTCTTCGTACAGTGCGGAGTAAAAAAAATCTCCACGTAGTGCGAAGGGATGATAAACCAACTCTCCGCACAGTGCAGAGAGAAAAAAACTTTCCGTACAATGCGGAGAGTTGTTTTCAAATTCCTTAATTACAAGTTAAATTTCAAGATTGTAAATATTTCGTATATACAACGAAATAGGTATATACTAAATTTTTTTTAATGTTGTTGGCAATGATGCGTGTGTGGAAGAATATTTGTCAATCACCATAAACAA